GTGCGTGATCTGCAGATTGGTGGCCGTTGAGAGTTTGTTACTGTAGTTTTACAAAAACTTTACAGATTTGACATATTTGGCACAGGTTTTAAATATGCAAAGGCCTCTAACTTCGTTGTGATGGCAGCATGTATTTTCTGTGTCCCTATTTCCCATGGTAATATGGCTCATGTGTTTATTTATTATTTGTGGGGCAATTTCAATTTGTGTTATTTATCTTTTTTTTCAATATTTAAATGAAGCTCAGCGCAAGTTCTTTCAGGAAGACTGTATATACATTCTCTCCGCAGCTGCATATAATCAGCTCATCACAGGCGTTCTCTTTAACCTATTACATTTCACCTCATTTTCCAGCAGCCAATCACTGTGCTACAGCCAAACTTTAAAATGGTTCTCTCTCCTGCAGTCAGCTGTGATTTCAGGTTTTCATGCTGCCGCCCGCCTCCTCCCCATCCACCTCCTTTCATCATATCCAGTGCCAGGAGAGCTAACCCAAAGACCTCATCACACCCCCTCTTCATCCCATCTCCTCATCAAATCCAGATCTTCATCATCATCACCAGTGTCTAGACCCCGGGGGGTTCCCTATATGCTCACGGCTGCATTTCCCCCTTTAGATATACGATTTCAGGATCGGGGTCTAATCGCCAAAGACTTAACATTTATGACATGTGTCAATAAATCTTCAAACAAAATGAAGTCTCTCCTGATTGAAATATCATGTGTTGAAATAAACAACTGCAGTTCAAAATAAAAAGTGAATTGCCTAATATTTTTGTTGTGGAATTAATGAATTTCTTTCTTTAAAGGCAAAAACATGAAAAAGCAAAAAACTATTGAATACAATATATTTGGAGCAACTTCAAAACTTGTGTTCACAATGATGGTAATTAAGTACATACAACTTGAAATTCCTTTTAAATAATGTGGTAAAAGTAGTTAAAAAACTTGATCTTTGGAGTAATCAACTTAAAAACTTGTGTTTATGCTACCAATTATTAAGTAAGTGGTAATTAAAAACACCTCTGATTGTAGAGGAAAAAGCCTTCTCCCCTAACTCAAATAAGTTTGTTGGTTTAACACACTTTCATTAGAAGTTGTCATAACTCAATAAACATTGATGCAAACTGTTGCATGGATTTTCTTTGTTGAACCAAAGCATTTGTTTTTAGGGTGTATGTGCATTCCTGGGATCTGTGTGTACTGTATGTTTATGCGAGTGTGTATGCATTAGCTATATATATTGTATATCTGGCACCCATTAAACTCCATCACTTCCACTGTTTTAATCTATTCTGCAGCAGGAGATGCACTTAAAGTTGACAGATCAAGCCGCGACAATACTTAATATAATAAAAAAACAGATTTATACGAACACACAGACCAAACAGAAAAGACCTTTGAGTTACATGCGCTCTATCCAACTCTATTTTCCCTATTTCCATCAGACATGGGTGCCAGGGTTGTTCGAGGTCCATGTCCTAAGACATCCTTGATAAAATGGTAACAGTGTGTTTGACTTTTAAGCGTATCGTTAAAAAGCAGAATTGAGCCTTGTGACATCCCACATGTGACGGCTGCTGAGCAAGAGCACAGGCTGTCATTCATGAGGAACAAGGTGTTAAAATACAAGCAATGAAGCAGGCTTCCAGAGCTAAAAGCATTCAATTAAAGATGGAAAATAAAAGCTGTCAAAGGCTGCGCTGAGGTCTAAGAGGATTAATACGGAGCACATCTCCTGCATTGGCTGCTTAAAGAATGTTCTTAGTTGCCTTAAGTAGATCAGTTGCTGTGTATTGTGAAGTCAGAGAGAAGAAAGAATGAAGAGGTGTTGGTTAAAATACCTTCTTGTAATACTTAAGCATAGAGAATGATAGGTAAATGATTTAGTTTCACACATATCACATTTTCAATATGATATTTAATACTGACTCTCAGACTGTAATTCCGATAAGGAGATTTGACACTGCTGTGTGAGTTGATTGCATTTGGTGCTTTATTAAATGTGCTAGTAAAAAAGCTGAAAAGCAATATTTGTACAGAAATGTGTATTTGTTCAACATGCCTTTCTAATCTGAAATGATTTCCAGTCTGAATATCCATTAAACATGCTATACCAAATAGAGCCCTTGTTTTTGACTATGTGGGACTGACACAGTTGCACCTTGTGTTTACAACTGATTTCCCTCTTATTTCTTGTACATCCATTGGTGCTACGCTAGAAATATTTCAAACTGGTGCAGTTTTTTGTATCTTTTGGACCAGTTATCTTCAGGAATATAATGCAAATTGCTAAAAGCTGTTTATTAAGACAAAGTTAGACTGTCGTTGGACAAGGCAACTGAGCGTCAGTGTTTCCCACAGAATTTGATTCTATTTGTGGGGGCACCGCACCCCCCCCCCTCTTATGAGTAGTAACCGATCTTTTCTGAATTTTAGGCGAGGTACGCGATGACTAGTCAGCCGCAGGCTAGAATTCGTAAAATAATTCAATTCGGACTTGTCCCGAGTGAGTCAAAAGGGGTTATGTTAACTAAATCCAAACACCGCCCGGCGGTTTTAATTTACTAGCAGGCGGGTCGCCTTCACCTAGAGTTATTTTTTTTTTTTATATATGAATAGAAAAAACCAACCAGGAGTTTAGTTATCACTCCACCCCGGACTACTAGGCCTTCCCAACTCAAGTTAGGACGGATCTTAGTGGGTGATATTGCAACTATATCCATACGCACGGGAACTCATTCCGTGAAATCCGGAGCCAGTGAGGCCCCCTCTTAGCAGGGCACATTAGAACCAGCGGTACAACATTCCAGGCGAAACCCATTCCGGCAAAAAACCCTCTTATGTTGGGGGTTCTAGAAGGTGAGCGTCACACGAAAGTTAGTAGATTGCTTGCGTTGTCGGTGCTCTTGTTCTTGCAAACAGATGTCATCGGTGCTGAGCGTACAAAATAGAATAAACTCCCACCCCACCTACTTTACGTACCTTGGTGGGGCTTATCCAATACCCAGGGCAACCGAAAAG